GTGTATTGTTCTAACGTTACTTGCAAACGCGTGATTAGTAGACATGTAAAAAATGGTATACTGCCAGCAACGGCGAACCGACGTCCTCCAGAATAGATCACAAACTCCCATGATGCAATATTATTCAATGGCTTACTGTGGTACCTACACGATCGGACATCCACATTTGATCACATGAACGTTCAGATCGGGTTCTATCAAAGTCCGCTTCTCTAGTGCTGACTAAAAGAAACATCTTGCCACTATATTTAACAATTATCTATCGCCAAAAACAACATTGCCTATCTATCGCCGTAAGACAAACACAAAACGCCACCATCACGACATACAACATAAACATGATTTAATGTTTGGCATTCGTGACATATTTCCTTATGGTTTTTTTATTTCAATAACACGTATGCATTACTATCTGTTTCAAAACAACCAAACTCATTGTGTTGCAGAATGCATACCTGTGGTGGACCTATATATTGTGCCAGGGAGTACGGTGTAGAGTAGCCATATGTGCATCTTGCAGGGAGTATTGAGTCGTGCTATGCAAGGTGCCACAGAGATAAAAATGTTGGGGGCGTCACCCCTTCAAAATAAAACTGAAACTCTTTGTGTCAGCACAATTTGCCCCTCAAAATGCAGGAAATGAGGTTTCTGAAAGTCTATATTTCATTTTTTTAAAGGGGGGGCATGCCCTGGACCTCCTAGTAAGGTCGCGCAAGGTTGGTGAGCAGACCCCCCCCCCCCTCCCATGCAAAATTTCGTGCACCATCTCTCCGCCAAGGAATATTTCACATTGTGGTTCACCTGTATATGGTGCCATGTAGTATTGTGCAGAGTGGTGTACCTGTGCAAGGTGCAATGGAGAAAAGTGGTGCATCTGTACATGATGCCAGGGAGTATTGGGTTGTGTGGTGCATCTGCACACATTTCCATGGAGTATTGTGCGGATTGGTACAACTGTGCACCATGTCAGTGAAACTTTACCATTGAAACTTCCATTTCACACACAGTAATATAGCGAGTGATCATTCTATTTTCAGCCAGCGATTAAGCTGAAATCAAGTGGAAAAGGAAAGTGGGTCGGTCAGTTCCCAGTCTGAAAATTAGCGATGAAAGCAGGGAGAATACACCCTCTCAGAACCTCCTGCAGTATCACTCAGACAACATGACTCATTTTGCAGTGATAAGGCCAGCTATGCTTGGAACACATGGGGAAGCAAAAACATGATGGCATAAGGTTACACGTTCTAATAAGGTCGTCAAAAAGTAATTCTAAAGGTCACTTTAAGTGGTTATAAAGTGGTCAGTTTCTTCAAATTTATGTGAACTTCTTGAATATTTTCAATTTAATATGAAATTATAATATATGCATAAATGTAAATCTCACACAGGACTCTATTTAACTCAATTTATATGAAGGGACTACTTCTTCAAAGTAGGACAGAGAATTTTCAGTGGAACAGCATAAAGTAATACTTACTTTTGCCAGCTAAAAATCACTCAGTGCAATGAAGAAATAATATTGAGGAGAAATGTATGTGAACCACGAGTCAACAACTTAAAAATGTATAGTGATATCTAGGCGACATTCTCATCATAAATATACTACCATCTTAACAAGGAAAATGCTCAATAGTTATTATGAGAACAGAACTATATTTACACATAATAGGCAGTGTTTACAGTTGAATAAAAATAAAAATAATAAAACATATTCTCACTGCAAGTTCATCAGACATTGACGTATGTAAAATATAACCTAATGCAAAGAATTACTTTGCATAGAAATACATTTTGACACTGTTCTATTTTAATTTGTCACTAAAACATAACACTCAGGCTACAATAAACAAGTTAAAACATTAATTAATAAGGCAGAGATGCAGTTTATTTGGCATCAGTGGTTAAATTCTCAAATTTTTTTGCACAGAAATCTCATTAAAATAAGTGAGAAGCTGAAAATTTCTTAATATGAATTATCATGTTTTTACAAAATAAGCTCAATGATCAGTCAATGCCAAGTAAACGGCATCTAATTCTTACACATAATGTAGCATAAGTTGTTTAATGACAGACAGACAGATATTTATATACAATACAAAAGCATAATAGCCAACATTCGTGACACATATCTGTTGAACAACCTTGATTCAACAACAGATTAAGCAGATATTCTGCTTACCATCATCATAGATGGCAGATGAACCTTAAAAATTTACATAACATACTTACAAAATAAATCCAAAACATGGACAGGACCGGCTACCCATTTATAGCAAACACTTGCCATATTTCAACAGTCACCTGTTTTGCAGATTTGATCTCTGTGCGGCGGAATAAATGCCAACCTTCATTAGAAGCTAATAGTGATCAATGCTCAATGAACGCTCAAAATGCTCAATGAACCACTGATTTCTTCAACAGATAAAATGCCTACACTTAACATGCACTTGATAAGCAGTCTATATGCAACTATCAAGATCGCGAAGGTCAACCTTTAACAAACACTCAATAAACGACCCACCTTTAACATACACTATACAAGTGTTTAAACTTTAACAAGCGCCAGTCTTCAACCCTAAATATACATCCATTGAAGTGCCTACATTCACCAGACAACACCTTGACCAATGATGTGCCTGCACTTAACACCCACTAATTATGGGCTTGCCATCAACAAACACTCAAGAACATTCAACAACCACCAGATGAAGTGACCACATTCGACAGACACTTGCCTGGCTTCAAAGTGCCTACTTTCAACAGACATCCAATGAAGTACCTACTTTCAACAGACATCCAATGAAGTACCTACTTTCAACAGACATCCAATGAAGTGCCTACTTTCAACAGACATCCAATGAAGTAGCCTACTTTCAACAGACATCCAATGAAGTACCTACTTCAACAGACATCCAATGAAGTGCCTACTTTCAACAGACATCCAATGAAGTGCCTACTTTCAACAGACATCC